TTTATTAACAAAAATCATTCAGCTCCAAGTCAAACATATTTCAGTTTAACACTCTCAACTAAGACTAGTAAAACTCAACTAAACTAAACTAATTACTATGTACAAAGAGGAAGGGGAAAACAGTTGAAAAACATATTACAGTTTAAGATGGATTCTGTGTTTGAAACCAAAGTTTATCTGGAATAATTTGGGATCTGATCAAATTAGCTTTTCACTAATTTAGAGAAATTGGAATGTTTTCAGACCACGGCATGGTTCTCATCCAGTCTGGCTCTATAAGTTCTGAAATTTAACAGAAATGTGTTGCAAAAGGTCTGTTTTGCAGCAGTTTGGTTCTGACTTATCCTCCACTGTGGTGAAGAACCAGCCAAAGCAGACCCCAGCTTCCTGGGCAAGGGAGAGGAGGCAAAAGAGAAATAACCTGGTTTTCTCTTTGGTTTTGTCTGTCCTCACAGAGGACCCCCCTCTGCTGCAGAAGTCCTCCAGCTGTTATTCAGCAAACCTGCAGTTGTCCTCTGGTCATCATGTCAAGATGAAATATGGACACTGGTTCCAAATGTCCGAAAACCATGATCAATGCATATGGCCCAACAAGTTATAGACAATATATAGTAATAGCTAAAATCAGTTTTGATTGAATTTACACTTCCCCACATTGTCTAGATAAAAAGTTAGCGGCGCATCCCCACAAAGGTTTTTATTGGTTCCGCTATCGGGACGGAAACGATAATGTTTGATATGGATGAAAAAATTAATTCCTATTTATGACGTGGTAAAACTTTTAGTACCATAAAAGACTGATTTAAGACATTTTAATACAAATGAATACCTTAGTTTCATATTGAAGAAATAAGAGCCTTTTAACCCTTTTTAGGATCTGCGGGAACCTTAATCAGAGCGGATGCTGGAAAACGACCCCAGAAGGCTGAGCAGTAAAGTTCGGAAGTGTTTCTACTGCATATCATGGTAGCTGAGAGTTCACTTTAAGGCACGCAGCTTATTGGCTGACACGCATTTCAAAAGCGTGCTTTGAGCAACACAAACTTGCAATAAAAAATTAGCTTTGTCCCTACTGATTTACAGATGAAATTAGAGGAGATCTCATTTCAAACCAGGTTTAAATATAAAAGTTACGGTTTTAAAGAATCTCAAACTGTCATTCAGGGAACTGAGTGGTGTGGCTGGAAAAATCCATTTCCTGTATATTCCAACACAATACCATCCGGTCAACAGTGATTACTTTAAATATTCAAATTACAAGTTTGGCAATAAGACAACTACCAAAAAATAAATAAAGAAAAAAAAAACTCTTCTAAAGTTTTCTTTTTCCATTAAGATTTTAATTATTTGGTTAATTTATCAAGACATGATTACATGAATGGAAAACATTCTGCAAGGAATAGAACACAATAAAAAGCGCCTTTATAAAAACAGACACTAGCTTTCCTGAATCATTGGAGAAAATAGAAAATCTACACAACCAAGAACAAAACTATGACAATTAGTAACACTTCAGAAACAAAAACAAACAACTTTACGATCAGAAACGTTAAACGTTTAGAGGAGTGTTACACTTCTTTAAATACATTATTAATCCAAAGGCTTAAAAACAGGGAGAAAGAATGTTCAAACCGTTCAGCAATAATACCAACTTTAAATCAAACGACAGCGGCCATTTTAATCTTGTTTCGTTCTTCAGAGAAACATTTTCCAGCCTCTAAAACCGCACGGAGAGGCTTTGAAGATAAACATCTGTGTTCTCCATTTCTACGTGTAGTGTGGCGTACACGCCCCCCTAAAGTCAGCTAAAGGTCCGATACCAGGAGGATAGCTGCTGAAGGCTGTTTCTTATTTCCTTCATGAATCTACCTGCGTCAGGCATAACTCAGTCTTTATCTGTTCATGTCAACTATTGGTTTTCATATTCGTCTTCTTTCACGTCTCCAAGACTGGATCGGAGGAGCAGATGTTCTCTCCTGACACGTCCAGCTACTCTTAGGCCACGTTCACTCTGCAGTCTGAAGTCACCAAAATCACATTTTCTTGCCAACATGATCAGACCTGGGTCTGATCTTTTCATGGCTGATTTTTTCCAGTGCAATCCAGGCCACTCGGCTCTGTGGTCCCGAATCCGACACGAATCTGATCATTTCAAATGAGTGTCTGAACAGCCAGGTCGCATTCATCCCACCTCAAAGTCATCAATACTCAACAAAGGTCACAGCTCTGTGTCTTGCTATGCAGAAGCAGGAAGAAATAAAACAACTATGGAGGACGACAATCAGCCTGCTTGAAAAGATTGTGTTAAAGGTCTGGCACCCACTTCCTTCCACGTTTACTTCTGCGGACACAGAACGCGCTGGCTTGTGACATCATTGCGTCCTAGGGTTGTCAAAAGTATCGATACTAAAACGTTGTATCCGGATACAATACTCATTTTCAAAAGTATCGATACAGCCATCTAAAGTGCAGAATAGTGGAAAATGCACTTTCTGAACACTGTGTGATTGAATAATTCTGTGCATTTGTCAGTTTCAGCCTTTTTTGTAAGAGGTGCAGCTGCTGAGAATTATTTTTGCTTCTTAACTGGTTTGGCTAGTGTCATTGTTATGTGAGCAAAGCATAGCAAAGGAAGGAACACTTAATTTGAATTTTGTAATTTTTTTTAATCAAGATTGCTTAATATTGTGCACAGCAAACAACCTCAAAATATTGTTCTTATTCTTTATTGTATTTTTATTATTAATGAAAATTTCTGTTGAATTTTGGAGTCTTTGTTTTTAATCCTTGTGGTAAAGAAAATGGTATCGAGTATCGAATATTTTCCTTAGTATCGGTATCGAGTTGAAAAGTTTAGTATCGTGACAACCCTATTTCTCAGATAACAAAGACCATATGAGCAGACCGGGTCATCTCCTCACAGTCAGCCTCCGTAATCAAGAAACTTCAGACATTCATAAAAATCCTAGCTTCCCCACCGTTCCACACGATATCTAGTCATGATTCTGTTTAGCAGAGTGATGAACCTCAACGTTTGTCATCGTTTCCTGTGTATGGAAGCCCTGATTAGACTATTGTTTATCGTTTCCACTTCCTGAAAGCCGACTCTGTCAAGTAAATTCACCAAAGGCTGCCTTGTTCGCCTGACAGCAAACTTCCTGAATGTTACGGGCGCCGCCATTTTGGTTTGCATGTTTCCCTCTAATGAGCAGTAGTACCATAGATCGTCACCAAGTGGCGAGGAACCGCGTTGGTGTGATATGTAAACGGTCGTAAGGAGCCGAGCTCGGCACGGTTAACTGATCCAAGCTCGGCACGGATCGGTTTTCAGAGTGGAAATGGGGCTTTAGGTAATGAATGGAACGTCTATTGAACCCGGATGAAGCGGAAGACGAGAGTACGAGTATGCGCATTATTAAACTAATGCCAACGACTGTGTGTGTGAAGCTCTGTACATATATAAGGGTCTCTTAGCAACATAAGGTGTGATTTAGCATCAATATTACAAAGTTTTCACAGTGTATATAGATAATTGGACCACAGAAATATAACCCCAATAATTACGGTTTTAGACAAAAACTAAAACATTTTATTATTAGCATAACATGCAGCTTAGCAATGACTGAATTCTCCTCGACACCTAAAAGCTTCTCGGCACGTTTTTCTCTCCAAGCAGCAGAAGGTCTGAACACCCCCCCAACATCTGCTATGTGCCACTAAAGTTCTGTTCTAAATAAGAAAGGAAATAAAATAAATATTATTATTAATTCTCTCATATTAGCATAACACTAGCGCATATTCACTCTTTTCATTTTTGGTTTCAAACAAAAAAATAAGCTGCCTGACTGAAATCTGAGCCCTGTGGCGTCTCACTAATGTGACTTCTCATGTGAAGCACAAAATCGATCTTTTTGGAATAATTCAATCCACATATTGTGCAGGACAATTGTTTCTCACCCAGGTGGGTTGATTTGTGTTTAGTCAAACTACCTTTTAGAGTAAAACTTTTGCCACAAATTGAACAAAAGAAAGGCTTCTCTCCTGTGTGAGTTCTGATGTGTCTGTCAAGATTAAACTTTTGAGCAAATTTCTTTCCACAGGAGAGACACTCATAATTCTTTTCACCTGTGTGAGTCCTAATGTGTCTGTCAAGAGTACATTTATCAGTGAAGTTTGTCCCACAGGAGAGACACTCATAACTCTTCTCACCTGTGTGAGTTTTGATGTGTCTGTGAAGATGAGATTTCTGAGTGAAGTTTTTCCCACAGGACGGGCATTCGTAATTCTTCTCACCCGTGTGAACTTTGATGTGGTCGTTCAAATCATTTCTTCTTTTGAACATTTTCCCACAGGACTTACAGGAAAAAGGCCTTTTATCTGAATGACTTACCATGTGAGAAGCCAAAGCACTTTTTTGATTAAACCTTTTATCACAAATCGTACAAGAAAACAACTTCTCATCTGTGTGAATTCTTAAGTGTTCATGAAGATGGTGAGACTTATTGAAGCTTTTTCCACAAGACACACATTTGAAAGGTTTCTCACCTGTGTGTAATCTCATGTGTTCATTCAAGTTCTTTCTTCTTTTGAATGTTTTCTCACAGGTCTTACAGGAAAAAGGTCTTTCACCTGTGTGAGACTTCCTGTGAGTCTTCAACTGTTCTTCTTTTAGAAAACTTTCTCCACACGTCAAACATGAGAAATGTGTCTCTCTAGTCTCCTGGTTCAGGAGCAGCTGCTCCTCCTGCTCACTGATGGGGAGCTCCATGGTTTCCTCTTTAGTCCAGGGATCTTCTGGCTTTAGCTGCTCTTCTTTCATCTGCAGAGGTTCTGGTTCCTCTTGGTCCAAACTGGAATTCCTCTCCTGTTTCCAGAGCTGCTGCTCAGAGAAATCCTCCTCTTTTCCAACCTGCAGGAGGTCTGGAAAGACAAACACAGGAGAAAGACCTAATGTTGGAGGGTAAAGGAAGGACAATCCATTTATGAATATAAAGAACATTTAATTAAATCTGATTAAACTGGATTTAAACACAGGTTTAAAAATCTAAACTACCTTTCAGTCTATCAGGCTATGAAGGAAAGTCTCTAATTGTTTAGAATATTTCCAACAAACCAAACATTAATAATTGGCTAATGATTAATTGTTTATGTTAGCAGGTTAAAAGCAGTGGATATAAACATAAACTCACGATTGATTTTTGGTGTTTCCTCCCTATGAGAGTACAAACCTTTTATTATTATACAGCTCCCTCCAATCACACAGCAGCATCATTTGAAGCAAAGCAGAAAACTAAATTAAACGAATGAGAGCTTCATAAACACACGCAATGCCAACATTACATTCCAGTTTGTTCCATCTGATTGATGACTGATATCATATGCTTAATTTTTTTTTCTTAAATTTCAACACAGCCAACTTATCCATACTTATGCAGGGCTTCCGCTGCAGAAGGGGCGGCCATAGACCTGCATATAAGAGTAGAGCTAGTCACTAGCTGATCAGAGTCAATAGCATGATCCGTACCATCGACTTATTTGCACAAAGACATTCATCCAGGTCACCATGAGAAATCTAATTATAGTTCTAAAAGTGCTTATTTCTATCCTTGAATCACTAAATAATGCTAATACACGTCTAAAAAAACATTTTTAGGACATTTTCTCCGTTAAACAGCTTCTCTGACGTCACCATGGGACATCAGAGCAGTAAATCTGATTAAATCATGTTTATCTGCATTTTAGTTGTTTCTTTCTTTAGATTAGGCGCTATATACCGTAATGTTAACATGAAAGAAACACAGAAAAGTCAAAAAGACTAGATTTATGTTTAAATCCAAAGCTGATAAAGTTAGCTCCTGGAAGTAGCGTAGCATCCATTTCCTGAACAGATCAGGAACAGAGCATAGAACAGAAAGGATTGAAAGGCTTTTATTTTCTCAGGAAAGACATTATTAACCTTTAACACATGATAGTTTAGTACTGTTTTTGGGGAGGGAAAAAAATAATTTAGGTCTATTTTAAAAAGTTATATTGAATTCTATTCAGTTTATTTCTATAGCTCCAATTCACATCATGTCATCTCAGGTCACTTTCCAGTTCACCAGATCAT